GCCAGCCTCTAGTGGCCATTAGAGGAACTGCAGTTTTGGACACTTCCACATTGGTTTCCACTTGATAAAGACGCACACAAACAAAACACACATGCGAGTGGTGGCTCAATATTTGCTTGTCATTTATTTACGCAATATATTTATTAATATATTCATTTACAACATCTATAAAACACCTTTTGCATAAATTATGCTACTGAAAAAATAAAACACGACTGCGCAGCCAGTTTCCTTTGCCTAGTAGTTGGTTGTAAAATGAATACTGAGGAGAGACTTTTGTGAACTGCAAAGGCAAACAGAGGTACAGTGTTGACAGAGATCTTGTTTTAGTGTATCAAAAGTCAGTCATTCGTGCTGTGGGGCTACCTGCAAAAAATACATTTGAATTAGGCTAATCTTTGATCTGTAAACAAAGTCAAAACCTTTGGAAATGCATGGTTAGTATGAATGGTTCCACTTGATTCATGATTATGTTAAACCAGATTGCAGTCTTCCTCTCAGTTTGTTTTCTGGAGACTGAATTCAGGATTAAACCTTGTGATGGACGTTTCTTTCTGTGATGTGTTGTACTGTGTTGCAGACGAGCTCCCCAGTATCCAAAATCCATAATAACAATCTTTAGAAAAAAGAAAATCATCATGCAACATCTTGAACATCTAGGCAAGTGCAAGCTAATAGTAAGTATCCAATACATTTTCTTTATTTTCTCTCTATTGTATATAAAGTCGAGTTGGTCCACATAAGATAAAAGACACAACGTAATAATGAAGATTAAGAATGAAGTCCATCGAGCACGTGTTGGGACAAGTACCCAAACCTGAGTTTAGGTCTGGGGTTGTGTCTGCTCACATTCTTAGTTAAGACTTTGTGGAGAAAACAAAACAAGGAAATACACAGACGTCTGGAGGGAACTGCCATGACAACAACTTTGGGTTCTGTAACTTCTGAAATGAAAGCCAGTGTTCAAATAGTGGTCGGATAAATAAAGGCTTGTCACAAAGAAAGAAGCCAAACATTGAGTTATGGTGGAATTTCAATATGGTCTCACTCCGAAGTCACCAAATACCGGCGCTTGGGCAGAGACTTGTGCATCAGACACTAAGATAAAAGCCGTCCTTTTACGTTGCCATGAGTGTGTAACGGCACCTAATGGCGTCAGGGGGAAAGTTAAGGGGTGTAAAAGTCAGAGTAGGGTGGGCGGGTCCAACAATCACAGACTTTCACCCTCGAGCCACTGTTTGCTTCCCGTATGACAACCCAGTCTTACTCCGAAGTCGTCAAAATCTGGCCCTTGGGCAGTGACTTGTAGCGTCAGACAGTGATGAAAAAAGTCGGCATGATACACAACCGGTTGCTGCGACAGTTTAACGGTGCTCGGTGGCGTCAGGGGGAAACGCGATGGGACAAGAACAAAAGTTAAGGTGACAAAAGTCCAAAGATCAGTTGGGAAGGGTGGCGGATGGGTCCAATAAACACTGACTTTCACCCAGGAGAGTGGAGCTCGCTTCCCGTAAGATTATAAAAGCCAAACCTTGTTCTTTCTTCCTAAACCAAACCACGTGTTTGTTGTAGGAGGAAAAAAAACGTCAGTTGTATGTAAACGATAAATTTCCTGTGAAAAAGGAAGTGTGTTTGAAAGAAGACGATGCATGTAACAGTCCCAGACAGTCAACAGACGCACCCAGGTTACTTAGCACGTCATATGTAGATGAGGAACGTCCATGACCAAATGTTAATATGTGACGAGGTCGGAGTGAGAACGTGTTTGGATAGCTCACTTAATATATTCAGTATGATGTACATTTCCACAGCACTGATCTCATCACTATGAGTCATGTCATTCTCACCACTCTGCTCTTGTTAACACAAACGCTGTTTTTATTCACTAAATCATCGCTTGTGCTTTGCCTTTTTTTGACAACTATAAGTTGCTGTTAATTTCCTGCAAATGTTTCAAAATAACAGCTTACAGAAAACAGCAGATAAATATCCTTTGACTCTTTAAACAATATCCTCAAGGTTACTAAACACAGAAACACTGGACTCTTCTGGATAATGCAACATTCCTTTACCTTTACGTTATGACCATCACTTTTAAATTTCAACCTTGTTTCTGGGAAATTATGTTTTGTCCATCAATTTAGCAGCCAGAGGTGCGGAGAATTCAAAGTGCTTCCTGTAGCAGTTGTGAACAAATCACGCTGCTGTAGCCGGACTGACCCAGAATCTAAAAGTGATATTGATTTAAGCTGCAGATTGTAAAATCATTTTCCCCAAAAGCGTAACTGTTCACTTCTGTCCTCCGTTAGAGGAACATGTACCAGATTTTTGGAATAAATCAGTGAAAGAAAACAGCATTTCTGACACTGAGAGCAGCAGAGCGGTGAGTAAGACGTGACTGTTGCTGTACAGATGGAATCAGTGCTGCGGAAAGAACCAGACGACTGGTAAACACGGAGGTTTGAGTCTGCATCAACAGGGGGATGTGTCTGACTACAATAGGATCAAATAAACTTTAAAAATGAAACATTAGAAATTCAGATTCAAATAAATAAATCTGCAGTTGAGGTAAACAAAGGCCTCGGCCTCTCTTTGACTAATCATGATAAATCATCTCTTGAACCGTCCTGTCTGTTGGCAGGATACTCTAAATCTGCTAGTTACCAGGCTAATGTATGGAGAGCTTAAAGTGCCATTAAACGTCTCTGCTTTCTCCCCCCATTTTAAAAGCCGTTTTTCATGCTGTTTTATTAGGGGGAAAAATGTGCTTTTTACTGTGCTTTAGTGAAATATTATAAAATGCTGCATTGTATGGCGCTCTGGTAAGTTTTTGGTAAGTATTTCACAAATGACGCCGTGATGGGACTTCCTAAACAAACACGTTTATCAGCACAGCCACACGGTAACTGCAGGCCTTCACTTATCCTACGGCTTATCACGAGCTACTAGAAGAGCTGGAATGAGTTTCACGAGGTTTACAGGATCTTCTACTTCCACAGACGTCTGATTTAAGATGTGATACAACCATGTTTTTCTCCAATCTACATTACAATAGCTGAGATTCATTATAGTACAGTCAAATAACATCTGTGGTTATATAAGTCTAAGTTTCTACCACTCTGACTTCACGGACATTTCTGATATGGTAGTGATTCTAACCCTGTTGTGAAGAACACAAAGTGCAACGCTGAAGAAAAGGAAATATCAACAAACAAAAAGGTGCATGTCCATAAACGTATGCGGAAGGTAGATTCTAAAGCTTCAGTGCAATACAGACGACATTTTAAAAAAGCACTTTCTCATGGTTTCAGTGCCTCAAGGCTTTCATCCCTATCTGACAGAGAGCAGGCAGCACAGTCCTTACATCATGTCACAAAGAGTCAGAGCATGTAAACAGAGACAGAGAGAGGGACATTCAGAGAGATGGAGTTCACTTCAGTTCCTCACAGTCATAAGAATGTGTTCTGGGCCACACTTAAGAGCACAGCAGGCAAACAGGCAGAGTCAGTTTGGGGAGGACAAAGGACGACAACATTAAGGTACAGAGTTACAACACGAGACAGGCCCACCTGAACACAGACAGAGTCGAACGGAGTGGTAATATACATCACGTACTGTCTGCCATGATCCCAGTGGAATGTGGAGCTTTCAAACACTGGTGGCTTCAAACTCTGTGAGTTCGGTGTGATCGCTGTCCAAGAGCTGTGGCTTGAAATGTTCACAAAATCATATAAAAACGTCTAAAATAAATAGCAAAGGAATGTTTGTGTGGAGAGGAGGAGCATCATCCAGCTAACGCCTACATAAAGCACATGTTTAACTTCACATTTTAAACTCTGGTTTATATCAACTTGGAAGTTGTTTTTATAATTTCGGCCATCATTTCTATCAGTTATCAAACAGGGTGAGAAACACCGGCAGTCTGACGATAAGGCAGGTTGTAAATAAGCTGACAGTTTATCCACATTACATAAACGACTTTTCATTTTTCAGGAGTTAAAACTAAAAGTGAGCCCGTCTGAAACACTGCTTAAAATCCTTGAATGCAAAGGAAAACTGTGAGCGCATAACTACGCCAAGTAAGATGGGTCAAAGTTAAATCAGATCAGAAGTCTGTCTGTAAACTGATCAGTTAAACTACCGCCTTTAATTTCTCCCCCAAATATGGTTGGTTGACCTGAGGGTTTGTGAGGGAGCATCACTCTGACTGTCAATGCGCAAACAGTCGGGCGCACTGAAAAGAATGCCAAGAAAGGCAGGTGCATTTAAAGTGAAACTTAAGCGTTCATTTTGCTGGGTCTAAAAGTTTGCATTCACTTGCAGCAGCTGCTCCTCTCTGATCGAACAGCTCTGAATGGCTTGGGCCGATCGATTATCCACCCTGTGAGTCACAATCTGCTGCTGAGTATTAAAAACAAGACAAAAGAATTCATGGAGAGCTCTGCCTGTGCTGCGATCACCCACTGCAAAAAACTCAGAATGTTGTAGAATTTCACTTATAATTAATTTTGTTTTTGAACAGTATTCGGAAAAACACAAGGATAGACATTGTTTCTCAATTTCAACTCCATTCTCACATCTTGAGTTGCTAATAGGACTGTAAACATTATCTGACATATATATGGAGGTCTTGGCCTGCTTATCTGTTATCTGGATACTTGCTGGCTACACCAGAACCATTGACTGAATAAAATAATGGGCCTACGTGATGTCACCTGTTGGTTTGCAGACTACCGTTCTGAAGTCTCGAGTTCTGCATTTCAGCCGTCGCTATCTTGTACTATCTTTTTTAGCCAAAAGTAACCATATTCAGACCAGAGGGGGGAGCTGTAGAGTAGTTATATAAATATTGACCATTTACAGTTTTCATGAATGTTGTAATTATTATTACTATGGTTACCAAAACTGTTTTTTGTACCAGGTTGTTAACATGTTTACTTCTGCTCTAAAGTTGGGCATTTCAACATGGTCGGTCTATGGGGATTGAGTTGCTTCTGGAACCAGCCCCAAGTGGCCATTTGAGGAACTGCAGTTTTTGGCACTTCCTTGATGGTGTCATTTTTCAGCCTTGGGGGTTGCTAAAGCTACAAGAGCTAGGTTGTAGTCATTTGACCCACTGTGGAGTGACCCATATTGGTTAGCACAGCTTTACAAACTAATTGTCTCACTGCTGGGGTTTCTTGACATGTCTGACTTCTTTTCAGCTATATCACTTTGTTCTCGAGTACAATGTTATTACTGCTGATAGAAATGATGGGCAAAATTACAACAACATTGAGGGAGCTGAAATTATCCTCGAACTTTGGCAAGACTTCACTGGAAGGCCTCACAAGGAGTCATAAAAACAGAAAAATGAGGCCTGTGTTCAGACAACACATATATAAAATGCTTTTAAAATACAAAACACAAAATCAGTGGTATTCAGCACCGAGGCGGCCATATTGGAAGTCTTTCTGGGAAGCAGTGGCTGAGAAAATGTGTGCTTTTTTGGGTCAGTTCACCCAAATTTAAACAGATCCAATTTTCTTAGCTTTTCTTTTTTCTTTGTTCAATCTATAAGCACCACAAATTAAATTCCATTCACCTGTGTTAAATTGGAATGGAGTCATTAACTTTGAAGACAATATCTCAAAGCTTGATAAAATAAAACCAAATCCGTCTGCATGGCGTGATACCTGGGGTTGCTTGTCATTAACTCCTGCCTACATTTGTACTTGGATTATTTTAGTTTCTTGTAGCTAGCATGTGGTCAGCACGATGACAGATGTCCACGACAGTTCAAGCCATAGCTATGTGGGATTTGTGGAGCAAACACAAAGCCTCTGTATGACGATGTAATGGGACTGAAAACATCCTGAAATGTATATCACGTTTCTAATGTGACTGTAATGCAAATGAAAGCATATCATTTTTTGAAATGACGAACTCTTCAGTCGTGATGTCCAACGGTGAACTTGAACAAAGATAAGAAGCCTCAGTCTGTAGTGAGGGGGCAAAGACAGGCAGACAGCTCAATGAAATAAACTTCAATCAGTGTAAACGGGGAGCGGAGTCATCTGAGGGACTGACAGGATGGACTACAGAGTTTGACGACTGCTGGACATTTTCACCTCGGTCAGACCCAAAGGACACGAAGGGTCCAACCAAGCAGAGTGTCCCGCTTAATGGCTTGGGTTTCAGTTGGCTTCAGGTTCATAAATATCAACAGAGAAAACAATGTAATCAGCGAAATTTGATCCTAAGTCAGCTCGGGACAAAACTACTACCTCTCTGGCTCGGCCTGGAAATCAGATTTTTTTTCAGCTTCGCCCCCCTCCTTCGCATTTTCAGGACCGAGTCAGGACAGAGGCAGGACGGAGTCTGCAGATGACTCGATGTGCCGGTCTTCACTGAGGCAGAGGGACGATGACCTCCACGTAGTTGATGGGGAAAAAGCCGGACTCGCCATTGATCATGCCCTCGTACCAGTTCTCGTCTATCTGGTTGGTGAGGATGATGATGTCACCTTCTTTGAAGCCCAGCTCGCCTTCGTTCTCTGGCTCGAAGTCATAGAGAGAGCGGCAACACGGCTGGTCCAACACCTCCAACTCTGCACCGACAGAAAACAATATTACATGACTGTATAACTATTTCACTCCAATGGTTTCTTTCCTACCTTGTATGTTACTTAAGGTTATATACTAAATACTAACGCCAAAATGCATCAAGCAGTGGCGAAGTACAGGTTTCTGCGGCTGGGAGGAGTGTTCGAGTTTTTCAGGAAGGTAGGAATTGTTTGTAACATACGTCAACATGTCATTGGAGTCACAGGACTCTGATTATTGACTGACTATGCTAAAAGTTAGAGACTATCTCCAACTTCTGGTTTGGCCACAGAATCAAATGGCCGCAGCTCAGAGCAACCGCCACAGCTTTCCATAGCCACTGCATGGCAGCTAGCCTCAGGCCGAACTTCACTGCTGCTTGGTGTGTTTTTTTGACACAAGGCTGCAACTTATAATTACTTTCATTAAGTAATTTTTTTAATCACAGTTTTTTCAAAGAAAACAATAAGACAAGTCAATAAAGACAAGAAGACGAGGCAATAAAATGTCTGAAAACAACCTAATATGACGTCTTTTCATTGCTTTGACAAAAACTCCAGCTGCTGATAAAACCATTTAAATGTGGCTGAAAGCCCAGAAATCCCAGTAAGAGGACCTTGAGTGGATGGAGTTTGCTCAGTTGTCAATACTCAGTGCTGATACTGAACTATCTCCATGACAACCAAAGCAAACTCCATTTACTGATGAAGGTCATGAGATGTGGTTAAAAACACATTAAAAAGTTAGTAAGTCGACCTTGAGTTAAGATTTTTTAAAAGATTTTTTTGTCATCTCAATGACAACTGAACAATTCACTGATGAAGAGTGTGAAACACAGTTTGAAAGTGCAAAAAAAAAGCAAGTAAGGGGACCTTGAGGGTTTGCTCATTTGTCAGTATTCAGTATTTATACTGAGACATCTCCATGACAACTGAGCAAACTCCATCCACTGTAGAGGTATAGAATGTTTTTCTACAGGGTTCACACACATTTTTACTTATTAATTTTGTAAAACTTTTTTCATAACGCTTCCATAATATTTTACCCCACATTCATGATAAGTAGTTTAAAAAAGGAGAGGCTATATCGATATCATAGGGCACAATATCTATTACACCAGTATGCTGTGCCTTCAGACAGGCACTGCAGCAAAAATGGAGAATATGGAAAGGAATGCCTTTGTGTGTGCACATACAGTAGACACAAAGTGGTAACATTATCTGGCATGAAATGTGTGCTGACGCTGGTGGTCTGTTTTGCAACCTCTTGGCTGTCTTGATGTTTTTTCCCTTCATCATGGCTGACTAGAGCTGCCTCCCCCATGTTGCGTAGCCAACGTGGCCAGGGTCTGCCTCTCTCTTGAGCAGTGTATTATATTTGTCTTTGAAAGTCATGCTGATACGCCACTGGTAGTGCTTGCTAACTTTACTAGCATGTAAACTGTCTGCATACTAGAGCTGCACAATATATTTTTTATCGTCATTCTGATGTCGAATTCAGCAATAACGGAAGCGACTGTAGTTTACAAGATCATGAATTAACTTCACACTCATTTTAAAGTGTTATTTGACCCTCACATCTGCGTTAAAAGCAGCTGTATCATGGCTTGATAACGCAGGATTCATTGATCAGCACAGATGTGAGTGCAGAGTCAGTGTGTGTTACTCACGGTGAACACTGCCATTGGTAGTGGGGCTGTCAGGCCATGACAGTGGAACAGAGGTTATATGATCAGCTGGGTGAGATGTGAAGACAAATGAAGATGGTGGTGAGCACAGGACAACACAAAACAATGTACACTCTCAGATTATGATGGAAAAATCATCCTAAATGCGCTGTTAAATCTGCAGTGTGAAACTCCACACTGCAGGAACACTAGTTGTATCTGACATACACCAGCAGAGGGCAGCAATGTTTTCTCAGTTTCTGCCAAGGAAGAGATGAGGAGGTAAATCTCTTTTCACCTGGTATCAACATGTGTGCTAACCACATTGACTCCACTTTAAAATAAGGAGCTTAAACAGACAAAATACATGCCCTCAGTTTGTCAGCACACAGGTTGAATTATGTTTCTAGATCTGAGTGAGCAATCGAGCTTCCTTTACAGTTACAGCTTGAGTTTAACAACAAACACAAAGGGTTTGTCAGGATACCAGTGGATCAAGTGAGACATTCACTGTCAGTAAATATTCTATAACAGTGTGCATGATGATCTGCATTTGGTGAGGGAAGAGAAATACACTGAGTGCATTACATGTGATCCAGCCACAGTGTGTGTGAGACGTCAATAGCAGGTGGGGGGGAGCACACATGAGCAGGGCCTTAACACTACAAAGGAATACCTACTTTTCCCATTGACTGTGTGGTTGATCTGGATATCTGTAAGGGATAACAGAAATAAAATGTACACTCGAACTGAAAGCAAACAATGAAGATGGGGCTGACAGAGAAAATCACAGAAAAGAAAGAAAAAGCAGGGGTGAGATAAAGACGGGTGTGTGGCAGCTGTACCGGTGGATTTGAGAGAGGAGCTGTAGGTCAGTCCGTTGTGCTGACTGTTGTCCAGGGTCTCCATGCTGCTCCTGACGGACTTTGGTTTGAACTCTCTCTTGGGCCGGCTGCTGGCTGTGGATATCCTGAGGTGAGAGGATAACAGGGTGATAAAAACTTGTTCCATTCGGCAAAACAAATCAGTTTTCTCATACATCACAGGATGAGAGAAAAGTATCATTTGGGTTTTGGTAGTGAAACACAGATATTTCATTGGCTGTGGTATTAAGACAGTTAGTACGATGCGGAGCACTAATCATGGCCGCTCTCGGATTGATCCCACGTGTTGACAAAAACAACACACAGTCAGTGTGTGGCTGTTAATGTGCCTCCATTATGACAAAGAACATTGAGTGAAATGACTTTCTGAACAGCAGGACCAGAGCGAAGCTGTGACGCTCCCACAGGGCATGAACACTGCAGAGTAATTACTAACAGCAAAGTGAAGTGTGGCCTTCAGTACCTCTTCTGCAGCTTTCCGCTGAGCTCCTCCAGGATCTCACACGACTGCCTGTGGTACTCTACAGCCGCCTCGATCAGTGCTGCCAGCTGGCTCACCTGCTCCACCTGTTGGCCACAGGAAAACACAAAAACACGTGCGTTAAATTCCCCTCTAGCAAAGTGACATAACTCCTTAAAAACACTCTGGCACACACAAATAAAAAAACTCACAGTGTTAAGTGGTGATGTGACTTTCTGTATACTGAACGTCAGCGCACTGGAAAATAATAACTAGGCCTGTCTCTTCACAACGTAGTGTGACTCACACTGAAGTCTGAGGCTAAATTCTAAAATCTTCATCTTTATTTCAACAACTGCAGTAAAAATATAACCTGTCTGTTATTTGTTTATTTAGATGTCTACAAATGAGCACATATGTACAATTTTTCATGAAAACTTTGTCATAGTTGCACCAGACAAACTTGATGAGCGTATCTTGTTTGGGATGAGGTCAGATCAGGACTCGACATGTATCACGCGTCTCCAACTTGCTCCTGGGACTCACGCTGAGTGGAGCGTTCACATATCACTGAACACAATCCCACCTCAGAGCAGGGTTTGACTGCTTACTCATGCAGCACTAACTTTCAGAAAAAGGTAAACTCCTAGGAGAGAGTGCGACGTCTGTGTTTTACAGCACTGACAGATGAAATGATTTGCAGTTTTCTGACAGCTGCAGTCGGACAGACTGAGCTGAGAAAAACAGAATGAACATAGCTCAGCGCATCAAGTGCACTGCAGCTCGTCAACAGATGACCACACAAAATTATTACCATTTTTATTGAAAGATCTGTACCTCCTCCACCTCTGCGTTAGCTTAAAATCATGTGTGGACACAGACTAATTAAAGTTGATTTCCCACCTGAATATCTTTTTGGCCATTGTCTTTATATTAACGGGACTGTGGGTCGTTTAGCTCGGGATATTTCATGACTTCAACAACAAGTCTCTCCTCATCCATTGTTCATCACACAAGAGAGACACAGCAACAGCTACAGAGGTCTCTTTATGCATCAGAGGTGAGGAGGGGAGTCGAACTGCCATAGGAGCAGAGAAAGAGCTGCTACAGGAGCTGGTCTGTACAAGAAGAGAGCGAGTGGGGGAAAATGAATTTCATACTCGGGGTGATGGCAGCATAAGCCTTCATCTTCTCTTAAACATCAACCTTAAAATGTTAACACACTGGTGTGGGGTTGTACATTTAAAATAACAGGGGCGTTGTTCACTGCTGGTGTGTTTTGGCCTTAACTGTGTGGTAAAGCATCAGTTTTGTTATTAGTTTATTGACATGTTTTAATTGCCTTATGTTTAATACTCCCCAATTTGTCTATTATTTATTTAGAAGTCCTGTCCTGTCTTACATCATTCTCCAGGAAGTTGAACATGCTCCTCTCGGCCAGCTCTTTGCTCTCGTCAAACTTCTCCACAGCCTGTTGGATCTCCTCGTCTGGAATCTTCCCCTGACGCTTCTTCTTATAGTCAAAGTCTAACCGGCGGCCCTCCAGCTTCTTCAGGTGGTGCTGCAAACACAAACAACACGTGTCAAAACTGTTCTTCTGCAAACTCTCTGACTGACATAACAATATCAGTAACAATACAAACTCACACATCCTGCATTTTCCCTGGATTTTGCGCTCTTGACTTTCATGATATTCTTTGGTACAGACAGCTGCAGATGTGATGCAGCGGCTCAGAGGAGGAGGAGACTTTCCACCATAAGGCTCCGAGATAACATTATCTTCTCTCTTTTGCTTGAAAGTGGTGATTTTACAGCTCACAGCAACTTAATACAGCACAGTCTCTGGCTTTTGTTTGATATGTAGTATCAGAAGAAAATGTTGATCCACATTTCCGATCCATTGTTATGACAATTAGCTTGTTTGCTACACTGCGTGAATGAAATATGTCACACTGAATGTCCTGGTTAGCCTGTTCAAACTTTACAAGAAAAAAACAAAAACAAACAAACAACAAATTGTTGAATATTCATATTAAAGTTAAAACTTTAACTTTAATATGAATATATTGAAAAGCTAAATCTGATTGGACTGACATAATTCTGAGTCAAGTACAGCCCTACTCTCTCGTGACCATGCTATCGTGCAGGAATTTAACCTGATATTTTAGACACTAAAGAGATAAGGCTCCAACTACTTTTGAAGTTTCATTAGGGCTGGGCTGTAAACCCATTCGTACTGAAAACCGGTTCGTATTTTCGTTATGAAATGAATTTTTCAATACCGGTGAATAGCCCAAACAATGTCCAGAATGTGCGCGGCGGGAAAGTGTTTCAGTGGTGACCCATTTCACCGCTGCATACCACAGGCGTGCTAGAGCTGGCGAGAGTGAGAGCATAGAGAAAAGTTTAGAGGCGAGAATGGTTGCGGGAGAGAGTCCTGAAAGCAAAGCAACTGTACACGATGACCCAGAAGAACTCATACCAAAAAGAGCAGTATTTCCCCTGTATGCAACTACACACCGCCGTTTACAACTCTCCTCTGCCCTCTTGGGTCGCATTTTCCTGACCGAAGGCGACCCGAGTCCAAGACAATTATAACCAAGCATGGCAATAATGGAGCGGAGCCTGTGTTGCATTCAGGCGTCACGTAAATAACAAATTCCAGCACTTGAATAGGCCATAGCAAAACACAGCAGCATGTCAAGTGGGCCGAACCCGAGCAAAATACCGTCAAATACCATGAAACCGATATGATTTAAAAAAAAAAAAAAAAAGTGATATGAAAATTTTGTCATACCGCCCAGCCCTAAGTTTCATTAAAAAGTGAGTGAAACAAATCAACCACAGACTAACAGTCATAAATAATAAAGTAATAGTGCTTATAATCAGTTGTTCATGAGTTCTTTGTGAAACCAGATAAAATTAATAAACACCCCAGGTTCAGCGCAAGCAGCATGACCTCCTGTCTTTAACGGGTGGTTTTATGGTGTGGTATTAATAGCGGGATCAAATGAACCGAAAACCTAAAACACACTGTTTGCATACTGTAAATGAAATGACTGTAACATTAAAGCAGATGCACGATCACACTGCTCCGACAACAGATTACAAACACTTCTTGGCACATCCTGGAAGTGTTGTCACATTTCCCCTGTGGTGCAAACACTCATCAGAACAGAATTATACTGTAGCTCGTGTTTCACTTTGTATAAGTTCAGTTACAGGACGCTGTGACGTACCGTGATCTCTTTGAGGTCCTTGTCCTGTAGATTCTGCAGAGGGTCAATAAAGTTCTGTTTGACGTTTATGTCCAGAGAGTCCTTCACATCTGCCATCTGCCTCATGGCCTCACCCATGTCCACCAGAGCACAGCCTGCAGGACAGAGAGACAAATACTCATTTTGAAACCCTACATTTAGTGGATTCAAAGTCTAAAATTTTCAGGATAGAAATTTCTCACTTGCCCCTTTAGTCACTTTGCTTTTAAATATTAACTTGTTATAATATTTCAGTGCTTTCCGCCACTATCTAAGAATTTCTGGAACATGAGAAAGAGTACCAAAAACGGAGTCCTCTCCCAGCTCATGGCCGTAGCGCAGCATGCAGTCTCCCAGCAGGCCTTCAGTCTGAGGGTAGCCGGTGGTCTTCACCTGTCCTCGGATCTTTGATACTGTGTTCAGCATGTTCAGTTTGGCTCGAGAGGCTGCGATGGAAAACAATGAATAAATCACATATTGGACTCATTTTGCGTCACAGTGTAAAATGTAGTGGCAGATTAAATAAAAGCAAAATAAAGTATGATGCATCTTTTTTTTGTTACCTGGGTTAGGCTGGAGGTATTCTTGTGTTTTGGCCAAGAGGTCAAACACAGACTTGTTGGTCACGTCAATTTTCTGATGAGAGCGAGACAAGAACGTTAAAAATTAGAGATATTGTAGTTGTGTGTAAATATTTTCTTGTTCTATAGAGTATTTGAAACTTTACATTCAGTTCATGATTCATTTTAAACTGGGCTCATTATCAAAAATTACTAGTAATTGTTTTAATATCGGCATAGTTACTTCTAGTTACTAGTTACTGCTTGTTTGTTTTGGACATTGAAATTTAGAAAATCAGTGACCATCACCGAAGCTGAAGATGAGTAGAAAAGGACTTTCAGTTGGACACTCTTATCTCCTGCCTGTACTAAATGAAATCAACCCAGTGCCACCATGTGTAACGCTATACATTATGTTACCTGCTGAGCAGACAGTACTGAACTCACCCTCTCCATCTCCATGAAGTCTTCATCGAGCTTCGTCCCCTCTGCCCCGCTGATCTTTTCACTGAGTAGCTGCACAAAGAGAGCAGAGAGAGAATTAAGGAGGACTCAGAGACACAAAGGGTCAGGACGAGGGTTAATCTTTTAACATTTTTGTTTGTCTCATTTTACAGTTTCAACAGTACAGTGCTTGACTTGATATTTATTAGCTAAATTTAGGACATTTGTGTCCAAAAATAAAAGTAATCATATCTCAGTAAAGCCGCGACCCAGCAGTTGTTCCATTATTCACTGTCTAGCATCATCAGGCTTTGTCTCTAGATGACATCATCCTCACAATCTGTCTCTCTGCTGTTCAGGATAAATAAAGTTAAGCTGTACAATATCAGGAAAAGAACATGCTGTATAGAGCCAGTTACAATAACCACATCACCGCAGCCTTGGAGTCACCACCTTCATCAATGCGTTTTTTTTCTCAGCTGATAAATGTAATTCATTGAATACTGTGCTACTTTGGCTCTGACGCAGCTGACTGTCTCTGCCTGCAGTCACCTCCATTATAAACAGACCCAGCTGCACCTGTTGGTCACAAACACTGTGTGTGTTTCCTGCTTGGTGGATCAAATCATTGATTGGTTGAAGGGATAGTGCACCAAAAAATAAAAATTCAGCCATTATCTACTCACCCATATGCCGAGGGAGGCTCAAGTGAAGTTTTAGAGTCCTCACATCCCTTGCGGAGATCCAAGGGGAGAGGGGGTAGCAACACAACTCCCCACTATGCCCAGATTCAAACGTCCAAAAACACATAATTGAAACCACAAAATATCTCCACATGAGACCAGCCTGTGAAGCACACATGAAGGCGGTGCCCATGTCTCACGGCCTCGCACAAGCGCGCACACATGAGCGCAGTGTACAGAGAGGCAGTCAGAGCTACAGGCTACAATGAGGCTAAAAACAGAGTTCAAATGACGTTTTTCCAAACAACTTTTTATGTCGGGGCTTCAGGACACTTGGATCACTACGGACGAGCAGTATGGAGATATTTTGTGGTTTCAATGATGTGTTTTTTGGACGTTTTAATCTGGGGCGCCGTCAGCCTCCATTAGGTGGAGTTGTGTTGCTACCTCCTCTCCCCTTGGATCTCCACAAGTGTTGTGAGGACTCTAAAACTTCACCTGAGCCTCCCTCGGCATATGGGTGAGTAGATAATGGCTGAATTTTCATTTTTGGGTGCACTATCCCTTTAAGTCAGATGCAACCTTTTCTTGAACTATGTCGAGGTACAATAAAGTCTAACCCAAACCCAAACCAACTGTTCAGAAACTGCTAGACCGGTTTACATTTAGAACATGTGACTTGACTGTGAGTGAGTGTCAGCTCTCTGTAGCTCTGAAGCAGCTTCTTCTCTGCTGCACCACGTCTTATGTTTCACTTTGACACAGTTAATCAGGACTTTTCATGACTTTCGTTATTGCTTTGTAACAGATGTGACTTAAAATGCTGCAAAGTACAAAACGTGAGACAAAAGGGACAAAAAGGTCCGTGACTCTGATGAAGATATGCCTCCTTTCAGCTTGTTAGCATTGGACCTTTTTCCTGTTGACCTATTACGTCCCAGACCAAACAATCGCCACTCTGTGTTTTTCTTCCATTCATGTATTGACTCCTCGTCTGTCCAAAAAATGGTTCTGGAACGATTCTGGATGTAGATTTCACCACGCTGTTACCAGCTTCATCTTTTGTTACACATTTATTGCTATTCCACTTCTCAATCAAAGCCCAGAGCAGTAACTGTGGAGCATGTGCAGAGCACCTCGGTCAGTTTGGGTCTGACTGGAGTAATTTGACTCCCAATAACATTATCTGGGTGTGTCAGTCCGACTTTGAGAAATCTGATTTAGTACGATTTCAGTTGGACTAACATGTTTACATGTACTTTAAAAGTCCAGTTTAAGTCAGACTAACACAACAAATCCATTTTCTCTAATGTCATGTAAACTAGTGGTTCCCAACTGGTGGGTTGCCGTCCAAAAGTGGGTCACAGGTCCATTCTGAAAGGACCGCAAGTGACTCACAAAGTTAGTAAAAAAAACACACTTTATTTTTAATTACAGTAAATTTCCAGCACAGATTTAGTTGTTTAGGAAATTGACAGTTTCAGTTACTGGCACTAGATGGTATGAGGACATCCACGATCGACACACTTCTGACCCTGCATGGTTTTAAAGGGTGTATCAAACAGAGGAATGGGACTTTGACACAATTCCCTGGCAGATTTAAAGAGGATTAAAATTCTGTGCACATAAATAGTGGACTAATACTGAAAGATTTGGGGCAGTTGGCCAGCTACAGTATTACTGCAGGTCAGTCACTGAATTCTACAACTGAAACATCAAGCTTTACCTAATTTATGAGTTACTGTAATTATGTGTTGTAGTTTTCTTTCTGAGGAGCTCACTTTCATATCATTCTTCCTCATGCACCTCTACTTCATCAGAGATTTTCTGCATTACCAAGACAACCTTTGAAGAACCCTAATGGGAGCAACCACCTACTTCTGTCTGTTATTTCTTTGGGGGATGTTGCATAATTCTTCTTTTTCTCAAGGCTTTTTCAGTCTTCTACTTATCTCTACAGTTAGGGGACCTTTTATGCTCATTTTCAGGTCCATACTTGTATTTTGGGTTTCTACTAGAACATCTTTACACACCTTAATGTTCAAAAAACACTAATTTCTTCATACTGTCTGTGCTATAACACCTGTATTCACCCTCTGTCTGAAATGCATTTTCTAAACCAAAAACTTCTCAACTGAACTTGTTCCACCAGGAGTATGATCAAAATCAGGGAGAAATGAACAACATCAGCACCCAAGATTCCTTGAAGTTAGCATGACGCTACATGTAGCAGTTTAGGCTACATAATGTACACACTTGCAGTAGCGTGTATTCAGAACAGTCTGCTCACAGCGATTACTTTTACAGACGTTCACCTCATTTAATACGAACATCTGACAGTGTATAATCATACACACTGCTCAAAAACATTACTTAATCATCACAGTATAGCACCAAGTCAGTTAAACTTCAGGGATATCAATCTGTCCATTTAGAAAGCAAACCTTTCACATAGCCGCTATATTATGGAGCTGTCCCTCCAAACGCGGCAGTCCAAGGGCCTGTCCCAATACCCCTCCTTAGCCCTACCTTAGCCCTACCCCTACATTTGTGCGTTCCCACGAGGGGTAGGGGTGTCCCAATTCCTTTTTGCGTGTAGGGGTAGGTGGCATAACAAGGGATAGTGGGTTTGAAACTAGCCCTTCGGAGCGAGGGATTTCAGATGCTGACTTGTCAGCGAGGGGTAGACGTCGCCATGGCTACCACCGAGCAAGAGACAGGGGAAAAAGCTCATACATAGCTAACATTACCGTAGTCAGGTTGCTTGTTAGCTAGCTAGCTAGCTCGCATTATCTGGCTTCTGTCATCTGTCCTGTTCTGCAAAATTCTTGCATTTTTCACATTACGATAACACACCAGCTAGTATAACTATGCTGCCTCGTAATGTTAGCTGGTTAGCTAGCTAGCTAGATAGCAGAAGTCCCCTGTCGTTCATCAAACGAAGCATGATGAATACAGCAAACGTAATAGGTAGGATGAACTCTCTCAATGGATGACACAACACAACTGCAGGGTCTTCCTTTGGGAGCAGTTTAGTAAAGTGGCTGCAGGTACGTGGCAGACAGTGACAAAGGGTGCTGCGGCACAGACACAGCACAGCTAAAAGTAGTCCAATTAGCAGCTCTGCGAACAGCACAACCTTTAACAGGAAGCTCATAAGTGGGAAAACCTGGAGATCGACCCAGAATAGAAACAAGACTTGAGTCACCAGGACTGGTGCTGTGTGGCAGGGTTATCAGTCGTCACATATGGAATATGATGATTAATGTAACTGAAGAACAGATGCTCAAACACTTTAGAAGCAGGGTCTTGATATTGGCAGACAGCACAAGGCTCCACATTCAAAGGGAACATGAACCCAAAGCAACTTTGAACATGATTAAAGCAGTGTGCATCACAACACGCCCCCTCTTCTCAGGGTCAAACCTTAGTCAAATCCAAACACAAACACATTATAAACTATACTGTAGGCTGGGATCCGAGTACATACTCTCTCTCATCAAAGTGGTATTCACAAATATTCATAAATCAACTTAGAAATCATAGCAAAAACGTCATGTATTATGAGGTCTGACCACAGGACATTCTGCTTACCCGATGACGTGTCTAATTACTATGAGGAAAGTCAAACTGACACCGATCAAACAGTCATACCTGGAAACTACCATGTCATTTACAACTCCAGTTAGTCATCATTTCAAAAGGAAATCCTCGGAGCAGCGCTGTAAATGACACATAAATGACGCCGTGATCGGCAGTCAGGCCTCAGTGGCTGAGTATCAGTCATACTGTCGCACCAGATAGCTGGCATGTGATCACAGCCTCCTTATCTTCCACTCACCAAGGTCTGTATTATCTATGATCACTGAGCTTGTAATCTCTTTCAGCGACCAGCTTACTATAGCAATAACATTACAAGAAATCTGAACAGTGCTACAGATTTCTCTTAACTGCTCAGGCTCATGCCAGCCACCAGGCTAATGTGTACAGTAATGGTATAACATTACAACAATGTTACTGTGAGTATGGATAGTTGACTTGCGGCTATTTCATTAGAATGAAACGGCCAGAAGTTAACAGACATAATTTAAACAAAACTTTAATCCATAACATGATGTCTGCCTGAGCTGTGTCAGATTTTCCTCAGCAGTGGTTGTTGATTACATTACACAGATGTAGAAACATTTCTATATGGTTTTCAGCAATGAAGACAACAACTCCCACAATCCCACGCTACTTTACGACATCATCAAAGTCCATCTCTCATTACTGTTTAAATTGAGAGACCCTGAGCAGCAGAAATGACATTTTCTGCATTTAATTTACATCCAGGTGATGAAAGCTCACATTGTGCCTTTCTTACCGTCAGCTGTCTGGCAGATTTTAACT